CTTTATTTGGTGTGGATTAGAATTCTTTGAAAAATAATAATTGACCTAGGAATATCCTTGTTTGGGTCCAGCATTTACTCCCTCCCTTCTTACCTCAGTTCTCTTAATTTTTTCATCAAATAAAAACAGAGTTTTTACTTGGTTAAATATTCTGTTGCTTATTGGTAGCCTTTACTGTTACCTGGCATTTTATGTCATTGGTGCATATTGTTTCTAGGGTAGACTTAATATGGTGTTTAGAACATGAATTTGAATATTTCGCCTGTGAACTATTAGCCAAGTTGATGGGAAGCGCCATCCTTGCTGCACAAGTTCGGCTCCATAACCATAACAGTTTTTAAATGGAATTTATGTTTATATTCTTTAAGTCAGTTGCTAGCAGTAGTTACAGAAGTGGCATATGTGAGACGGTCAATTAGGGTATAGGAGGAAAACCTTAGAGCTTTTACTGAGTCGTAGGAACATTTGTTAGAAGGAGGGACACTTTGACCCTTTGTCGCTTCTCGTGTCAGGTGGGCACGTGTCTTCTGGGCAAGAATGGGCCTCCTCAGGGAGCGTGCCAGAGTGCTTCCACCCTGTGTCTTCCGGGTCAAACACATTTGCTTGAGGGGTTTGCAGATTATTCTGTATAGTTCTGAACCTAGCCATCACAACACGGGCAGGGCACGCTTAAGTGCAGATGGAAGGTGTTTCTTATGAAAATATCCGCTCACCAGCCTACAAGCTTCAATGATCGTTTGATCAATTTGGCAGGAGGGCAGCAAAAAAAGGTTTGTCATTATATAAAATATGTATCTACATCTACTATCATTAATAAAGAAGACTTTTTGAAGGGTTTTTGTGCCTTGATATATTGTCTAATCTAACATTAAGTTATTAACATTAGTGAGATATTTAAGGAGGATGTTTTGATTCATTGGAAGTTTGAACTTTGAGGCATCCTTTAAAAATATGTTTTACAATGTACATAATATATACATATTATATAGACACAGAAGTATATATGTGTATATATATAATTTATAAATATACATTGGGAATATATTCCAAAATTTTTTTCTTTTTCTTTTTGAACTGGTGTCTCTCTTACTCTGTCAACCAGGCTAGAGTGCAGAGGCAGGATCATGCCTCATCGTAGCCTCAATCTACTGGGCTCAGGCGATTCTCCTACCTTAGTCTACTGAGTAGCTTGGACTGAGGATACATGCTGCCATGCCCAGTTAATTTTTTTGATTTTTATTAGAGATGAGGTCTCGAACTCCTGGGCTCAAACGATTCTCCTGTCTTGGCCTCCCAAAGTGCTGGGATTGAAGGCATGAGTCTCTGCACCTGGCTCCTAAATTTTTTTAATGAATGGGTACGTGATTAAAAAATTTTGAAGAATAAATGCTTTTCAGTTACATTTAGTTAAAGATATGAGACTCATGTTTTTTAGTTTATTATTATTTTAATTACACAATTTAAATATTTTACACATTATCTTGTTAAAATGCCTTCAGTGTTAAACCATGTTTAGGTGAGTTTTCCAGGTCAAAATGGAAAACAGTGAAGTAGAATGGAATTAATCAAATTGTAGAATTAGTCATTGTAGGTGAATTAGGTGTTCATTAACCTAGATCTCTATTATAGAATATAATAATACAGGAATTGTGCCACTTCAACTCATTTGTGGGGAAGCTGGCTCTAAATAAGGAAGAAATAGGAGTTATTAAATATTCTTTAAGAAGTGCTTCTTTAATAATTTTGAGGGCAGATAAGAGGAAATCAAGGTAATGTGTTTTAGCAACTCTCTTAAAGTGCTTTCATTTAACCAATAGCTGAGAATTAGTTATCATCACTCTGTTCATTGTTTGAATTAAAATTAATACCAAAGTGATGCTTGAATGGCCTTTTTTCCTTTTACATTTAAGTAGGCTAGACATTTGCTTTGTTTATACCATTAATTTGTTTTCACACAGTCTGCAAAGGTAACCATCAACTCAGAATTAATTAGTGGAATCAAAATTAATGAGTTTTTACTATATTGGGCCATTTCTACTTTAGGCCAGTTTTCTTTATATGAGTTGGACTAGCCCTTTTTTTGAAAGAAGAAAAATTAGATTTATTTTAATCCATATTTAAAAAGCACAGAACCATCTTTTCTTGTGAGTTAAGTACCTCTAATAACTATGCTTTCTTGGACTTAGTCATATTGATTTTTTTTTTGTTTTCATTCTTGATTATTTTGGTTATTTCCAGACTGTTTCTTATTACAGTAAAGCTAAAGTTGATGCTTCAGATACTTATTATCATTTACAGGAATGGTATATAATTTTTATTTTTGACCAAGCATTTTTCTATAGGTGGAGCGTGTCATTTGCCAGTTTTCATCATTATTGTACTGTGTGAAAGAGGAATAAGACTATTGTTTAAAATATATTTAGATAAATATATGTGTTAGATGAGAATGTGTCATGTAGAAGTGAAAAGCTAGAATCTTTGGAGTTAATGCTCTTTTATTTATCTTCAGAAAATTACATCTTATAATGTACTATGATGTTATTTAACATTCATTTTTTTATGTCCTGTACTTTTACTTTATAAGAGCAGTTCTGTGATGTGGGCTTTTAAGTCTTCTTATGAAGATTGATTGTATTTTCTTAAGTCTTTGAAATAATCTGCCTGCATATCTATGTGAAAAATTAGCTCTTTTCAAAGAAGATTTTGGAGAGCTTGTGATTCTAAGTAGCAGAATCAAAAGTAGTGATGTGACGGTTGTATGAATACTGTGACTGGCCAGTGCCTGGAAAGGATGAGAACAGATTAAAAGCAATGCTGTTTTGGAATCCTTCTTTTTAGTCAATCACACCCGTAGGAAAAGATCTCTGATGAGAGAAATAGATAAAATGACCACTTTTTGGCAGATGGATGTTGCAAAATAGAAAATTGTAGTCAACCATTAATGTAGCAGCTATTACTTTTTTTTTTTTTTTGAGTTGGAGTCTATTTCTTTTAGTTAGCAGTATATTCCTGGTGCAACTGATAAATATTTTATGTATTGTGAAATAATTGAAAACAAAGGCATCATTATATATATATATCTGGTTTTATTCTAATATGCCTAAGTTTAAATGATATTTTTGTTGTTTACCACTTTGATTTGGTTTATGTGCTATTATAAAACTAATTTTTGTGTGCCAGAAGTCAACTGCTCCTTGCTTCTTAATATTTCTTTTATTAAGAAAGAAATTGTATTTGTTTCAATTGAATGCTTATCAGGAAAATGAAATAAGTAAGCTTAACAAATACTTGAGCAAATTATATGTTTTAATAAAGGTTTATAATGCCACTTTTCTGAACCTAGTTTTTTAACTTTTAGCATTAGTAACACCTCTTATGCTGATTAAAGTGTTTAAATTATTATAATACAAAAATACAAATAAAGCTAACAGACTAAAATAATAAAACACTTGAATTTAAGTACAGGGTAAGTATTAAATCTTACTGTTATCTGTATTTTATTAATGCCTCTCTTCACTCAAAAATTGATTTTAGGTTGTTTACAAAAATAAACGTTATCCAGTAAATTAAAGCTAAATAAAGCTAAATCATGACAGAGAGAAAATGGGAGAAGAAAGCAAATTAGACTACCGAAAGTCCACATTCAGATACTTATACCCAAAATACTGCACTGTTAGAAATAGAAAATCCAGTGCTGTTCCTTAGCAGCCCAGACTTGAAAGGAACCTGCTACAGCAACTTTCCCCAAAGTGCGTTCCTCTGTAAGATGACCATGGCCAAACACATTTGGAGATGAATAATTTCATATCCCCTAGTAGAGGTAATTACGTTCACAACATTCTAAAGGTTCTTGGAAGTTTTATGGTTAAAAACAATAACAACTACTTAGCATCAGTATTTCCCATGCACCTTTGGCCGCCCCTTCCCTCTTATTCTCTCCCGGTACCTATCAACATTTCTCATTTGAGGAATCAGTGAGATATTGATCTTTAGTTTAAAACAGTCTGTTTGCTTAAGAGAAGCCTAGCAGGGGAGCCTTGACAAGTTTCTCCTTTAGATTCCACAGTTGGGAAAGTATATATATAAACACACACACACACAGTGCAGCAGGCTTTATCCTCAGTAAATAACCACAATATATGCAATAATAAGTTTCAGATGGTTGTTTTCATTTGGTTTCCCTTAGTATGACCTGCAAGCATAAATTAATAAATCACTTAAAGCTAAGTTTTACATTGCTTATAAATAGTCTTACAAAAAACTCAAGACTTTTTTTAGGTTATGGGTTTAGTTCTCTGTTAATACTGAAAGTCCTTATTGTCTCGATTATTTATTTCCTATCTTGATCTAAAAAGGAATTGAAGGCAAAAACTAGAGATGAATAGAAAATGCACCGCAGCATAATTGGCTGTTTTGTGGTTAGTTGAGGTGATGCATTTGTCAACATTATGGACAGAAACTGTGAAGCAAACAGGGACCCGTGTCTACAGATCATGCGACTGACTGTGGCTCCTAAGAAGTGATTGTGGCAGAGGGACCGTGAGGTTATTGTTTTTGAGCAAAGGTACAGGGAAGAGCGTGGGTCCAAATGACAGAGTCACAAACTGAAAGAAGCTCCACAGAAAGCAGCACCAGGAGCAAACAAAGGAAAGTTCATACCATGGAGAGAGAACACCTAATAGCAGATCAATTTTTTTCCAGCTTTGCCGGCTCAGATATAGCAGTCATTTTAGTAAAGTCGTCTTCAGATTTGAGCTGCGGATTTTCCAACATATCTTTTACAATCTTTAATCCAGAATTAATTTAATATTTTAAGAAAATGTTTTGGTAATTGAACTGGGTTTCATGTATAACTAGCACATTTTTCAACATGACTAATAGTGTGGTTGGTTTTCAGTGGTAGTGAATGTGTGATTAATTTCAGTTTAAGTGATTGAGGACAGGATCCATATTATTCTAAATTTAATGTAAATATAATTAAGGTGTATTCTTCTTTTCAGGCAAGAGTGCAGCACTGCATCTGCTCTGTAGCCAGTGACCACTCAGTAGGACTTTTAAGTTTGCGGGAGAAAAAATGCATCATGTTGGCATCCCGTCACCTTTTCCCTATTCAAGTCATCAAATGGAGGCCCTCTGATGATTACCTGGTAGTGGGATGCTCAGATGGCTCTGTGTACGTCTGGCAAATGGATACTGGTAAGAACAAGTGTGAAGAGATAACAATAGAAAATTAAGTGGGCATATTTGATTCTCTAGCAACTAGCAAGTCTTTTATATGAGGGAAAGTGCTGTGAAATGTAGAATGGTTGCTACTTTTTTTTCTGAATTACTGATTTTTCCAAACGTTCTCATCAGTATCAACAAAGAGATAAGTGTTTTCTTATTTTTTTGTACTGTGTGCCAAGTGCTTGTAGAATATTTCCCAGATCTTTTTTTTTTTTTTTTTTTTTTTGTTGGAGTCTCACTCTGTCGCCCAGACTGGAGTGCAGTGGCCGCTCCCGGCCATCGCAGCCTCGACCTGCTGGGCTCTGGCGATCCTTCCACCTCAGTCTTCTGAGTAGCTGGAATTACAGGTATGCATACCACGCCTGGCTGATTTTTTGATTTATTGTAGAGATGAGGTCTCGCTGCCCAGGCGGATCTCGAACCCGCGGGCTCAGGCAATCCATTCACCTCAGCCTCCCAAAGGCGCGGGATTGCAGGCTGAGCCACCAAGCCTGGTTTATTTCCCAGATCTTTAAAGGCAGACATTCAGGCAGCAAAGTATAAGCGATTCCTATGTGACTCATGAGGTAAGTTGTGAGCAAGATGAAGAAATCATTTTTGTCTCAGGTTGAAAAACAGTGGAAAAGATAAAACCCTCTTTTCTTTGGACAGTAATGCAGTGCTGAGCAGTGAGTTGTAGGAGGTTGTTGAAATGAAGGTTTCAAGTTCTAGAGAGAATATTGAAAATTTCAAGTTTCATAAAGATTGCACATGAAGGGTGTAACGGAGAGCTAGTAATGCTGACCTTAAAAAGAGGCCATGTCGGGCTCGGTTGCTCAGCCTGTAATCCCAGCGCTTTGGGAGCCTGAGGTGAGTGAGTGGATTACCTGAGCCTGTGGGTTCGAGACCTGCCTGGGCAACTTGGCAAGATCTTGTCTCTATAATAGATTAAAAAAAAAAATCAGCTGGGCGTGGTAGCGCACACCTGTAGTTCCGCCTACTTGGGAGGCTGAGGTGTAAGGATCGCCAGAGCCCAGCAGGTTGAGGCTGTGGTGGCCCGGAGCGTGCCGCTGCACTCCAGGCTGGGCGACAGAGTGAGACGCCAACTCAAAAAAAAAAAAAGAGGTTGTGACAGATAATGTTTACACACAGACTGCTGTAGTTTTCCTTGGCAAATCTGAAAGTGTGTAAAGAAATGTTTTCTAGTTTAGACTTTTTTGCTATTTTACTTTTACAGTCTTCAGTAATCTTTTCTCAGTGATTAAAATCTTGCTTTAGATTCCTAGTTGTACTATATAATATTTATACGAATTTTTAAAAATTTCCTTCATCTTTGTTTTAAACAGTCCTTTATGAAATTGGACTGTACACATATTTTCTGCTTGCACTATGCAGTAGAGAGTTTTCTTATGCCTTTTTGGAAGAAGTAGCTGTAATCTTCTATTTATTGTTCTGATTGTAACTGGTACACAAGCAGTCTTGCTGGGAGGAAGCATTCTTGAAGTCTGTCAAACTTCTTTGCTTTTGCATTTAACTTTTCTTTCTCTTGTCTGGTCATAAAAGAGATTCACACTTTCTGTCAAATTTTAAAAGCGCGAAAATATTAGGAGAGAAGAAAAATAGACCCAAATCTCATTGTTCATTGGGAATAGTTAATATTTTGGCATATTTCTTTCTCGTCTGTTTCTAGGCGTTAAAAAAAAAACAAAACAGAATTGCTATATATTACATGTGCAATTTTGTATTTTTTGTGTTCCGTTATGTTATACTGACTGTCATAGTCTTGTGTTTACTTTTTTGATCTGCCTCAAAAACTAAATATGTAGAGTTTGTCTTCAACTTTGGAGTCAGACTGGTTTGAATTTAGGATCGAATGGTGACCTATTGCAAGTCACTGGATTTTTGTGCCTCAGTTTCTTCATCATAAGATTAGGATAATGGCATTTCCCATCTTATAGTGTTGCCAAGAGAATAAGATGAGATATTTCCCTGATATGTAGTAAACACTGTAAGTGTGCATACATGTATGTATAGATCTGTGTACTTGTAAGTTTGTGTGTATACATGTACGTGTGAATATTTCTGGTTATTGTTATTAAAGAAACTTGCTGCTTAAATTGTTACTTTGTTGATCTTGGGAGTATAATTTCACCTATATTTGGAAATAGTTTCTAGAGAATTAATGTTAAAGAAAGTTCTTACTGCGGTAATGACATTTATAAAACACGGCACTAAAATATGATAAATGTTAAATTAATATATCTTAAATGAAAATGCATAGTAAATTGTCTAGGACTTGCTTAAATTAGATAAATGTGATGAAGAGTGTCACTTTTCTGATGCTTAAATGTATGATATTTGAATATTTCAGATACTTTGTAAAGAATATAGAATGAAATATAATATTATTTATAAATGAGACCTTACTGGTAGATAAGATTACCTTTCCAGTAAATTTTCTAGAAGGAAATGACAAAATAGACCGTAACTGTAGGTATGCTGGAGAATGTTATTCTTATAATCAGTTTAGCATAATTAAGCCCCATTTAGATTAACCACCATATTAAAATTTTACAAATTAGCTTCCGAGGATATAGGTAAACAATCAGTCAATATGATGTTCTTAAATCAGGACAAATACTATAGAGGAACTGAAGTTATTTTGGACTTCAGCCATAATAGAGGGTTGCATTCTTTTTTTCTCTTTGCTGTTCAGGCAGCAGCTAGTGATATAGAGGTCCCTGGGGAGTCAGTAAGGTACATCCTGAAGGTATTGCCATTATTTATTTATTAAATTATTTATTTATTAAATAAATAAAAAACGAAGCTAGATAAATCAGATTCAGCCAGGGTTTGATGTATGCGTTGTATTTGAACTCTAAGGAGATACTTGGTCCCTCTTCTTCGTGTTTTGGAGATGTGTTTTCACAAATGAAGCCATTCCCCTGTAACCCTGCTCTGCTTACTGGACAATTTTCTGTTTGCTGTTTTGAGTTACACTGATGTTTCTGGTTTAAAAACACTTAAAATGTCTTTTCTTTATACATTTGTACAGCATTTTCTTTTAATTTTTTTTCTCTTCAAATAGGTAATGTAATATTTCGAGAGCTAGAGCTGTAGAATCTTTTGTTCTTTCATTGTGGCAATTTTATTAAATTGCAGTAGCAATTTAATAGTGCTACAGAGGGCATGGAAATTATTTAACATCTCTAGATAGTTGGAAAATTAGTTAAACACTAACAAGAAGATTTGGCCTGAAGAGCCTCTTGACTCTCCCTTATGAACTTATTAAAGGTGGGGCACCAACCTAGATGGTGGCTGCTTCTACGTGGAACTGTAATGCGCTTCAGGGATCAGTTGTTTCATTTGACAGTTTGGTATTCCCAGTAAGTGTGCAGTGTCATTCCTCCAGGCCTTTGACAAGGTCAGAGTCTTGTCTGTTTAGGAAGCAGGCCTGCTTAAAGTAATGACTGCTGTTACAAAATGTTCTTCTTATCTAATCATTACAAAGCCTAACCAGCATCCTCATATGCCCCTTTTTATGGTCTTTGATAGATAACAAAAGCGATTCCCACACACTATTTCTATTCCTACAGATATAATTATTAGATATTTTTGTACAAATGTGAATACCATTAATGCTAGACAGATATTGTCAGAAATTAGTGTATGAAGATTTGTCAATTTATTTGTTCTATTATCTTTTTAAAATATTTCACTCTCTGGGTTTTCTAATATTTCTGTTTTTGCAATCACTTCATGAACTATGCGTTTGAGCCATCTCTTTGAATTTACATATCTGATAAAACATGGCAGAAAATTATGGATTAACATATATTTATATATCTGTTGAAAAATGTATATTAAGCATGGAAAACCAAAAGCATGTGTGTCAGGGACTCAGATTTTCTTACATAAAGTTTTAGTGACTGTTTTAATCTTCTTGAGGCTCACTATGTTGCCCAGGCTGGTCTCAAACTCCTGGTCTCAAGCAATCCTCCTGCCTCAGTCTCCCAAAGTTCTGGGATTACAGGCATGAGCCACCACGTCAGGCTAAAATTTTTGAAGAGCATCAGGAGGTGTTGCTGCAGTTGTCCGTTGTTGTTAGTGAAAGGTTTAGTAGCAAATATTTTCTTCACATATTTAACCCTTTGCCTACAGTTTTCAGCACAGCAGAGATAAGACTTTACATTTACGTTTGTTTCTTTATATTGCTATTGTATGATCAACTGAGATATTTTCTGCATGTTTGCTTTTCATTCTATCGCAAAACATGCTATAGAAAGACACAATAAATGAGTTAAGAAAAAAAGGTAATTGACGAAAGAAAACCTGGGTAAAACCAAGTGTAATCAGAGGTTTTTTTCCCCCTCTTTGTTGATTGATTCTGAAATCATACTTATTTACTGGTATAATTGCTATTTTGTTTTCTTTCCTCTTTGTGGGAAGAACGTTTTTAGAGTGGAAATATTACTCTGCTTACTCCTGCCTTCTACAACCCACTGTGCGTTTAATCACCAAGTCTTTCCCACTAGGTATCTCTCGCCTTTTTTATTCTTTCTAGTGTACCATTCTAATTGGTGGACATATTTTCCCATATGTAGGCTGTCCTTATTGGGATCCTGCCTACTCTTTCTACTTCCTGGTTCATCCTTCACTGTGCTGGGAAATTAATCTCAGGAAACAAAACATTGGCAACACTTGTTTATGTTCCTGTGGTTTTTTTGGTTTTTTTTTTGAGTTGGAGTCTCACTCTGTCGCCCAGACTGGAGTGCAGTGGCCGCTCCCGGCCACCGCAGCCTCGACCTGCTGGGCTCCGGCGATCTTTCCGCCTCAGCCTTCCGAGTAGCCAGAATTACAGGTGCGCGCTACCACGCCCGGCTGATTTTTTGATTTATTGTAGAGATGAGGTCTCGCTGCCCAGGCGGGTCTCGAACCCGCGGGCTCAGGCAATCCACTCACCTCAGCCTCCCAAAGGCGCGGGATTACAGGCTGAGCCTCCGAGCCCGGCTTATGTTCCTATCTTAATGAATAATGTTAGTTCATAACACCTTCAAGAGAAAGTCTCCTACAGTGTGGCATCTTCCTACCTTTCTGTCTTTACCTCTCACTGTTCTTTTACGCAGAGCAGTTATATGGTCAAGAATAACTGGGGCACTCACTATCACTTCTTGTTGTTTATATCGTCCATATTGTTCTCATGGTTTTCACTCATTTAGAACATTGTTTTCTTTCTTTCTGATTTTTTATTTAAACAGGTTGCTCCACATCCAACATGGACACCTACCTATGCTCAGCTCTACTTAGTAACTTTGTTCAAAAGGGAAGTGGAAGTATGCTCTTGTCACAAGGGAGCAAGTTAGTCACTTGATGCTTTGTAGTATAGTTTCATTTTTTGGTTGATTAATGATTCTATTTTGGATAACAAGAAGGGAGAATCACTTAGCCCTTTCCATTATAACTGTAAACCACATTTTAATAAAGCATTAAGAATAAGAACAATAAATTCTAAGTTTATTTCTGCTAAATGTTAAGATAGCTGAAAGAATATTATGAGTATTATTTTAAAAATCCAATTAATTTTAATTCACTTAAAATAATTGGACTTTTTCTTCAATATTTAAATACATAGATAGGCACAGTGGCTCACACATCTGTTATCCCAGAACTTGGGGAGGCTGAGGTGGGACGATTGTCTGAGGCCAGGAGTTTGAAACCGACCTGGGCAACGTAGTGAAACCCTGTCTCTACAAAAAAATAAAATCATTAGCTAGGTGTGGTGTCACACACCTGTAGTCCCAGTTACTCAGGAGACTGAGGCAGGAGAATTGCTTGAGCCCAGGAGTTGAAGATTGCAGTGAGTTGTGTTCCTGCCACTACGCTCCGGCCTGAGAGACAGAGAGAGATCTTGTCTTAACAAACAAACAAAAATAGTATATATTTGTAATAATTGATATACTACGGATCTTCATGATTTTTTTGTTTTGTTTTGTTTTGAGTTAGAGTTTCTGTCGCCCAGGCTGGAGTGCAGTGGTGCGGTCACAACCACCGCAGCCTAGACCTGCTGGGGGCTCAGGCCATCCTTCCTCCTCAGCCTTTCAAGTAGCTGGAACATGTGTCAGGCATGTGCCACCATGCCCAGCTAATTTTTTGATTTATTGTAGAGATGAGATCTTGCTAAGTTGCCTGGGCTGGTCTTGAACCCATGAGCTCAGGCAGTCCTCTCACCTCGGCCTCCCACAGTGCTGGGATTATAGGCATGAGCCACTGTGTCCAGCCTCCTTTCTTATAGTATTATGATATTTGTTCAAGGTCCAAGGTCCGCTTATGAGTGAGAACATGTGATACTCAGTTCTCTGTTTCTGGAGTGCACAGTTATTGAGAATTTTTTCTGTGGCTATAGTATTTTTTCAGTGACTAAGTATTTGTACCATGGATACTGTTCTCTGACTTTTTTTTTATTTAACATTGTACTGTGGCTTTTAGTATAAGTTATTACACATTGCCGAGCTTCAGTTTTTTGTGTCTTTGTAACTTCAAGTATTCCTTTTAGTGGATATATAATAAATTATTGAACCAGTCTAATAATGGTAGAAATTTAGGCTAACGTTTTTTTAAAAATTACAATTAAGACAGTAACTACACACGCACATACACACACATATATTTGTATACGGTATGATTATTTAGCATAAATCTTAGAATGGAAATTTCTGTGTTAAAGGAAATGTGAGTTTTAAATTTAATAGCATTTGTCAAAAGAAGAATTACTAATTTTTATTTGTACTAAAAGTATATTACCAGTTTTCTTATACCCATAAGAATACTGACTATCTAATAATAAGAGATAAATAGTATTTCATTGTTGCCTTAATTTGATTTCTTTATTAGTGAGATTAACATCTTTTTGCATGATTATTACCCATTTGTAATTCTCTTCTCAATTGTTCATATTCTTTGAACATTATTTTGTTGGCTTATTTTTTTTTCCCTCACAGGTTTATTAGAACTCTTATTTTGAAGCTGTAACTCTGTCTCCAATCAGTAGTTACTGATTGCCTCCTAGGTGCAAGGCAGTGTTCAGTGTGCCAGGGATATAACACTGAAAAGAACAATTAAAACTCTTTTAGTTCTTTTGTAGTTTATAATCTGGTTGGGAAAAGGCAGGTCAGAAATAATAAAATCTTCAATTATGTTATATGTTAGCTGGCGATTAGTGTTAGGAAGAAAGTAGGTAAACGAAAAAAAGATATTGATTCTAACACTGTTGTAGCTGGGGACTTAAATACCCCACTCACAATGCTAGGCAGATCATCAAGACAAAAAATCAAAAAGGAGATCCGAAACTTCAACATGACACTTGACCAAATGGACTTAATTGATACCTACAGAACATTCCACCCAACAACCATAGAATATACATTCTACTCATCATCACATGGAACATACTCTAAGATCGACCACATCCTTGCCATAAATCAAGCATAAACAGATTCCATAAGATTGAAATACTGCCACGCACCTTCTCAGACCACAGTGGAATAAAAATAAATGTCAACAGCAGCAAAGTTCCTCCCAAACCCACAAATACACGGACACTAAATAGCACAATGCTGAACAACTCCTGGGTCAACATGGAAATCAAAACAGAGATTAAAATGAAGGAGAAAATAAAGCAGAAAAGGGAGAAATTAATAACACGACCAGGGAACAATGTAACATTAGAATAAAGGCCTGAAAGGTGGTGAAGAGGGAAGTGATAAAACGCGCATTATCTAGGAGAAGAAGTCCATGCTCTGATTAGACGAGAAATGCATGGATGGAGATGCACAGAAAGGATGGCCCAATGAAGAAACTTTGCAGTCGTTACAAGTAGAAGCAGTAGTCATTTTCACAAAAATTTGGAGAAGCATTTGACTGGGCGAGAGTAAAAATCAAAGATGCATACAGAGTGGAGAAGCTATACTTGTTATGTTCTGTGGAAGTTTCTTAGATAAAGAGAAACTTCAGAAATTAGTCAAGGAGAAAAAATGAACATATTTTAATAAGACTTTTTGTTTAAGATTGATACATAACTCAGGAAGGTCAAGTCATAGAATCTGATGTTTGCATTAGTGTATGGTGTGGGTGTCGTCAAAGAAACCATCTGGGAAGTAGGAAGAGAGTGGAAAAGCCTGGGGGAGGTTGTTGGAATCTTGGCTCAGAGTGTGACTTTATTGGAAGTTGCGTCAGGAGCTTCACAGGAGAGGAAACGATTGAGGTGATGCTACGTGGACGATCATTAGAAGAAGGAAGTACAAGAAGATATTTCTGGGAGGCATAATAAGACATATTCCTACATAAAAAACTTTCATGCCATTTTTTTTTTACTAAGATACTATTTGAAACTTTATGATGTTGCGTGATATTGTGTGAACACACTTCTCTTCCAGGTGCACTGGATCGCTGTGTGATGGGTATAACAGCAGTAGAGATTCTGAATGCTTGTGATGAAGCAGCTCCTGCTGCTGTTGACTCACTTAGTCATCCGGCAGTCAACCTAAAGCAAGCCATGACAAGACGGAGTCTTGCGGCTCTTAAAAACATGGCCCACCATAAGCTACAAACCCTTGCCACTAATCTCTTGGCTTCGGAGGCATCTGACAAGGTAGGTTTGGCATGTGGGCTCAGGCAGTGTATAGGCCCAGTTTAACTTCATTTAGTAACAGAGCTTTGGTGTGTCTTAGAGAATAATTTTTGAGAGAGGGCACTGTTGAAAAAAAGACTCATGATTTGTATGTAGCTTTATCCAACATAGTGTGAGTATTTCAAGGATGCATTTGGCATTGAAAAAGTAAATTACTCTTGCCATTCCAAAAATATTTGTCTTTGGGTCAAGGTCTTACTCTGTTGCCCAGGCTGGTATGACCACGATTTGCCACAGCCTTGACCTCCTGGGCTCAGGCGATCCTTCTGCCTCAGCCTCCAGAGGAGCTGGGGTTACATATGTGCGCCACCATGCCTGGCTAATTCAAATATTTAAAAATGATTTTTACTGAACAGTATCTTCAGTTTCTGAAATTAGGGCAAACATTGTACTTACGTCTGTTTAACTTTTTGCTAATATTTCTGTTGGAAGATTGAACAATAGCTAATGTTTCTAAGAGGGAAAAGAAATAATTTAGGCTCAATTAAAATGCCTGTAATCATGATGTATCGTCTGCTTTAAAGTTCTGATTTTAGTAAGGTTAAGCTATTATAAGGAATTAAGAAAATACTTGAGAATAATTATGATAGAGTTGCTGAAGTACTGGAATTTTCCTGTGAAACCCAAACTTAATCACACTTTTCTAACTGATACTTACAATCAAGATATAAGTTACTTCTTCTTAGCAGAAGGTTATCCAATTAAAAAATTCCAATTCATTAATTGATTACTTACATTTAGTTTTGTTGAGGCTAGCCACTGTTGGTTTGTGGTACTTATGTAATGTGGTATTATTAGAAGTAGTATGTGTCTGGTAATGGATAATAAAACCTAGAGACAACCCCAATATTTCATCTGAATCACTATTTAAAATTCGGATCAATCTAAATATTCATTAGTGTTATTATTGGATAGCCCAGGTTTTTTTTTTAAATTCTCTCTTATTCTTGATTTCCCTTTTAAAAATGGTTAGACATGGAAATAAATTGTGAAGGGTGGAAGCGCTCATTTACAAACTTGAGAATTAGCTATGAGTTAGTGAGTGCCAATGACATATGAAACACTGCAGGCAATTCCACTGACCCACATCTGCTAGTAACTGGTAGTAATGTCACCCTTTGATCGTCCTTCATTGTCCTTTTCTCAAGTTATGAATGTTTTATCAGCTGTGTTATATTGTATATTTCACAAATTGGAATTGTGAAGTCTTTCTGCATTTTCTTCTGCATGCTTTCAATCACATGTCCTAAAGTTTGAGAAGAAACCACAGCTTAAATGCATTTGCCATACCTCTAATTTCCTTCAAGGAATCATTAGCTGTCCCTAGTAATTCAGTATTCATAGCACATTTTTGACATGCTATATCATTTTAATTTTGAGCAAATGTATAAAATCATGTGTTTAAGAGCATGCATGCATGTTGTGTAATCCCCAAATATATTCTTTTTCTTGATGGTATCCCCTAGAAGTAAAAATTTGGAAAAATAATTATATAACTAGAAAGTAAAGAAAAATCAGTGGTACAGTAACAGTTATGAATGGCTTTTGTAAGTGGTCATGGTCCATTATGTGATTTTTACAATCTTGTTTGTCCCTGTTTTAATGGCGTATTTTATAGTGCAATTAGTGATAAAAGCACCAGATATCAGAGACACTACACTTATGTATTGTAAAATATATTGCTTGTGGACCTCCTTAGGCTTGTAGCAGTGGTAATTGTTGCCTGGCCTACAAGGAAAACAATTATAGAAGGGAGGGAAAAGGCTTAGGAAGCTGAGGCTGCAGGAGGATAATCACTTTATGAAAAATGTATGTTGGATGGACCATTAGGGATTTCTCTAACTATTTTCTCATGTTGAGTTTGAGGCTTCTTCGGGGGGGAATATTTAAAGAGCTGTCCTCTGGATAGCTTTGCAACCTCAGGAGAAATAAACCCACCCAAAGTTTTGGAAAACAAAAATATAACTAAGAGCCTCTCAGTGGTATAGGACTTACTCTAGGATGTTGGGTCTAATTTTTCACGTGAGTCTTTCAATGGAAGGGAAGGTCTTTACTGGGATACTCCATAGAAAGTGTACAGCTTTTGCATTCTTAGAATAGTGTTAGCAATCAGGGCTATTTGGAAGTAACAGATATTTTTATTTTGCTAATTATGTCAGTTATACTGGGCATATAAAACTGCAAACAAGGATGGAGAACTTACTGTGCTATGGTTTTTTTCCCTCTCACTAGAAGGTCAAGTGGGTATTAAGTAAAATTATTTATTACAGCACTCTTTTTTTTTTCTTTCTTTTTATTATGAAGATGTGGGGTACAATTCAGGGTTAGGTATACAAACGTTGATTATGCAGGTACCCTTGTTGATAAGGTATGCCCCTCCCTCCCTAGCAGTTTCCCTCAACTGCCAATCCTACCTCTTCTTCCCTGACGGTTTCCCACTATTGCCAATCTCTTTCTTATGTATTACTATGTATTGTAATTGTTCAAGGTCTGCTTATGAGTGAGAACATATGGTACTCTGTTCTTTGTTTCTGTGATAGATCACTGAGTATGATCAACTCCAAATCTATCCAAGTTGCTGCAAAGTCCATATGTTTGTCTTTCTTTATGGCTGCATAATATTCCATTGTGTATATGAACCACATTTTTTTAATCCAGTCCAGCTTCAATGGGCAACACGGTTGTTCCATGTTTTTGCTATTTGCACTGACTCTTGTGTGTATTAGAACCCTTGTGAACTTATGACATATATTTTATTTTTCCTTATATAATAGTAACTTACATACTTATCTAATTCTCCCTACTGAAATCCCATCTTCTTGAGGGCAGGGATTTTGACTTATTTATCTCTGTGTTTTCCCAATGATATATAGTAGCAACTGTGCAATACGTATTGGTTGCATTGGATGATGTGGAACAGAAAGTGTGTGATCCTTTGCTTTGGCTTCTTGGCTCATGTCTTCCCCATTCCCTCATGACTGATGACCTTGAGACTTGGGCTTTGCAGACTCAAGCTTGTCTCTCTTCAAGAGCCTTTAGTTGCAGAACATTCGTGACCAACTTTTATCCTCTGTTCCTTTTTGCATTCTCCTCTTTGGTTTTGTTGTGTAACGCTGTCTGGATAGAGTCATTCTTCTTCCTTGCCCTTTGTGTGTTGTCAGTGTTCCGGCATATCCCGAACTCGTCTCAGCTTTATCCTCTCCTTTGTTCCTGTTCCTCGTGGCTCCAGACCACGGTAGCTCATCTGTGACACTCTTGACATTCTGGGCTGGACGATTCTTTCTTGTGGGAGGACTGTGCTCTGTACAGCAGGATGCCGAGCAGTGTTTCTTCTCTCTCTGCACTATGCCAGCAGCATTCCCCCTCTTCCCAGCTGTGACAATCAGATGTCTTTAGACGCTGCCATATTCCCCCCAGGAAGCAGCATCGCCTCTGGTTTAAAACCACAGCTGGAACAAAAGGTTGGGTAGGAACCCTCCATCCTGTCTGCTGTCCCTTTTCCCTCTTTTCACCCTCGTTTCTTCTTTCATCCCTTCCCCTCTGGAAGAGGAGCCATCTCCTTAGCCCTCTTACTTCTGCTGGCAGAAACAGTTCCTTCTTCATTCTTTTTGTGCTCATGTTTTCTTTTCATACCTTTCCTGAACTGCTTCCATTTTGAATGGGTTATTTATTTTTTTTCTTTATGTCTGTCTTCCCTACTCGATTTTGAACTTCTTCGGTACAGGAGTTTATGTTATTATTTCCAGTGCTCAGTGTAGTATAACTATGTTACATTATAGTATTACTACAGTAAAACTACATACAGTATAGCATGTCCTGGTGAACAATAGTAAGTGCTCAAGACATGTAAAAGGAAGTTAGTGTTAAGGTGTATGTTGGGATCACATTGTGGAATAACTTGCATGCAAAGCTGAAGACTTAATTCTGTGGATTGTGACAGGCTGTTAAATAGTTTTGAACAGATATCTTTATTCGTTTAAGAGTATTTTTTCATGTCAAACATTTGTATGTAGGACACTTACAGATGTAGATGTGGAAAATGAATTGTAAGGCTACTGGACTGAAATAGTGAGAGGTAACGGAGATGGGAAATGGGATCAGGCAGTGGACATGTAGATGAGGGGATGGCTTGAAAGCTATTGTGTACGTTGAATAAACAGGATTTCACACAGTAGCAACAGAAGAGTTTGATATTCAGGGTTATTTCAGAGACGCAAGTCCCGCTGAAGGGAGAATGGTGGTGCTGTTAACAGAGATGTGGAGCCTATGGAATAGGTTCTGTAGGAGACTGTTGTAATAGGAGACATTTGCTTCTTCTAGGTGGTCCTGGGAGTTGGGGTGTGTGTCAGGGCAACAAAATACCTTCAAGAAAGAAGTGACATGAGGCTGAAATAGAGTAGAGATGGGATTACTGTTTTTCCTAAATAAATGCTGGAGTGTAGGACCTGAATTAGACTGCAGTTTCACATTTTGGGGTGTCTGCTGTTGTCAGATTTTTTAGATGTGCTGTTTTCCTTAGTTCTCACTGCAAATAGATGAGTTAGTTAATACTGTCTCCAATTTGCAAGTGATGCACCTAAGAGATAGTTGGATAGAACAAGAATTGGCAGGATCTTTCTGTAAAGGACTGGAAAGCAGATATTTTAGGCTTTGTGGCTGTTTCTGTCACAGTGGCTTAACTTTGCATTATAGTGTGAAAGCAGCCATAGACAGTATTTGAACAAATGAGCATGGCTGGCTTCCAATAAAACTATTTACAAAAGCAGGTGGTGGGCTGGATTTGGCCCTTGGGCCATTGTTTGCTGACCTCTGCATCAGAAGATGGCATTATTAATATCAAAATAGTGGGTACAGTTCTCAGATGGAATGGCCTTTGTGTTGTTTTTAAAAAGCAGTTCAAAAGAGAGCCTAGGTTCTGGTGACAGGTATGTCTCTGTTCAAATTATATTTCTGTAACTTAC